TGGCTGCCGCCACACACCGCTGGCTCATATTTAAGTGATTGCCTGCTAGGACTCCAAGGTCCCTCTCACAGTTAACTGTTTTTGAGGCAGGTTTCACCTAATCTGTACTCGTATCTTTGTTTTTTCCTAAGTGTAAAACCTTGCTTTCCTCCACATTAAAGTTCATGTTGTTGACGCTGTAGGAGTCCCTCTTTCAGGGGAGGGTCACCTTATCCGTATGTGGCAGACCCTGGAGACAGAGAGGTGAAGAGTGAGAGAGATGACTAGTGTCATGGTTCCGACAGATGAAACTTTTCAAAAGAACTTCGAGGCATTGCTTACCTTAAAGAATCTTTATTTTGAGTAGCATAACATCGGCACTGCATATTCGAAGCCAAAAACTGAATTCCCCTTCCCTGAGCACATAATATCAAAGCACAATTCCCTCTTCCAATAAACAGTCATAAATCACAATCCCCAATTAGCTTGAATCGTGGGCTTCCTCTCCAGTTCTCCAGCCCGCCAATTCCTTATCAGCTCTGGTTACAATAATCTTGTTTCTCAAGCTAGGTCTAGAGTTGTTATGTCTAGCTGGACTCTCGTCCACATCCCCCCTCCTAGCATCATCTAACTCCAAAAACAAAAGGTAAAAGTTGGTACATTTCCACCTGTTGTCAATGCAAAAACCTCCGATCTTAGCAGCGTTGACAACCAGCACGTAACAAAGCAAAACATGACATTCTTCAAAGACCTGGAGAACGTAGTGAACTGATTTGTCTCCAATCTCTTGAGCCTTCAGGGACATGGTTTGAAAACAAAAACAGACTCCTTCGAGCCTCAGTCGTGCAAACTAAGAAATCAAAAACTCAAAATAAGATGCTTCGCTGAGCAGGTAAATCTGACCTGATAGCAGCGGCTTGAGACTTTCTCATCAAGAGCAGATTCCTCGACCTCAAAAACTTTTAAAATGTATGGATTTCAATCCCCAGAATTTGTCTATGGCAGGGGTGTCAAACTCAATTTCATTCAGGGCCGCATCAGCATTGCAGTTGCCCTGGGGGGGGGGGAGTGTGGCCTACTGGGTGGGTATGGATGGAGTAGGTGTGGCCTACTGGGTGGGCATGGCCAGCTCTACATCATTCCCGTCAAGGGTGCCTGTGGGGGCCTGGGCAGGAGTGGGATAGATCTGAGGGTCTCTGGCAGAAAGGGGAGGGACCAGGGTAGAGCTCATCAAGCTAGATATGTGAAGTAGGCGAGGGCCATTTGCTGGCCACTTCCAGGCTATGGTGCATTTCTTCATTCCTCACAAAGGGTGACACCTCCCCAGCATGCACCCAGGGGGCGGGGTCGACGCAGGAGGGGCTGGTTCCTCACTGTTTCCACACAGCCTTGTGGAGCTAAGACTGAATGCGTTTCAGCATAGATGGCCACCACAAAATTGTACATTGGCTCCCGGCCGGCCTGGGCCAGGGCCAAGGCAGCGGGGGCCGTTCCCTCACTGTTTCCAGGATGGCTTCGCGGGCCACATGAAACCACTTCGTGGGCCGCATCTGCCCCCCCCCAGCCTTGTGTTTGACATGTCTGGTCTATGGAGTCATCCAGATCAGGGTTGTCCCAAAGGTGCTTTTTCAAAAGATAAGTGGACTTTCCTTTGCTCCTCACAGAAGAAGCTTCTTGGATAAGAAGTAAAAGAAAGTCCAGTTGCCTTTTGAAAAAGCACCTTTGAGACAATCCCCAGAAGTCTTCAGCCAGCATGCTAACTAGCAGATTAACAATTAAAAGACTTAATGTAACTAGTCCAGGGGTAGGAAACCGTGGTTCTTTTGACTCGTGGACTTCAACTCCCAGAATTCCTGAGCCAGCCATGCTGAGGGGGAAGGGAGAGGTTTCCAAGCTGAGCCATGCTGGCTCAGGAATTCTGGGAGTTGAAGTCCACGAGTCATAAAAAGAGCCAAGGTTGTCTACCCCTGGCCTAGTCAAATGCTCTGCCACGTATCTCAACCCTTAAGGCAACGTATCTCGATCTTAGCAATTTTTAAGATGTGTGGACTTCAACTCCCAGAATGCAATCCTGCTTCACATGTCTAAGAAGAGGCAGGACATTTTAATTTTTCTGTTTATGGGAAGCCACCTTGCAGAGAATGGAATGCATTTAGGTCTGTCTGTCTTTCCATCCATCCACCCACCCATCCAGGTACTCCTTGACTTACGATCGGAACTGAGCCCCCAATTTTTATTGCTAAGGGAGACATTTGTGAAGTTAGCCCCATTTTATAACCTTTCTTGCTACAGTTGTTAAGTGAATCCTTCCAATTGTTGAATTAGTAACACGGTTGTTAAGTGAATCCGGCTTTCCCATTGACTTTGCCTGTCAGGGAGGTCGCAAAAGGTGATGACATGACTTCGGGACATCCCAGCGGTCATAAATGTGAGTCGGTTCCCAAGCGTCCTGATTTTGATCCCGTGACCATGGGGATGCTGCAGTGGTCGTAAGGGTGAAAAACGGCGATAAGTCACTTTTTTCAGTGCCGTCGCAACTTCAGTCACTGTTGTAAGTCGAGGACTACCTGTACGTACATACACCTTGCCTTTCTGGAGCTGAGGGTAGACTAGGAACTGGCTCTCCATTCAGCCCTTGACCATCCTGGCTTGGGCTTTGAAGGAGTTCCTGGCCTAAAGCCCCCAAGGGAATTTGCCTGGTCATTTGCTGGAACTGGGTATGTCTAGTTTAATGAAGAGAAGGACAAGGGGGGACATGATAGCAATATTCCAATATCTCAGGGGCTGCCATAAAGAAGAGGGAATTAAGCTATTTTCCAAAGCACCTGAAGGCAGGACAAGAAGCAACGGGTGGAAACTAATCAAGGAGAGAAGCAACCTAGAACTAAGGAGAAACTTCCTGACAGTGAGAACAATTAACCAGTGGAACAACCTGCCTCCAGAAGCGGTGAATGCTCCAACACTGGAAGTTTTTAAGAAGAGACTGGACAGCCATTTGTCCGAAATGGTGTAGGGTTTCCTGCCTGAGCAGGGGGTTGGACTAGATAACCTCCAAGGTCCCTTCCAACTTTATTATTATTATTATTATTATTATTATTATTATTATTATTATTATTATTATTAAGGGGCACCACAACAGGGCTATATTACAGTATCCCGGAGTGGCCCTTTCCAACAGGGTTGGAAAATCACCCATGGAGCTTCTGGTCCCTGAGGGAGGAACAGACTAGATTGCTGGATTTCTATGCTTTCTTATTAAAATCAGGGACAATCAAAGGAAGATAAGATGAGATGAGGTGAGGTGAGGTGAGATGAGATAAGATGATAAGATGAAGATAAGATAAGATAAGATAAGATAACCTTTATTGTCATTTTTTTACTGTGGGCACAACGGCACACATCAAAAATGAAATTTAGTTGCCCGCTCTCAAAGTGAAGCACATACATGACACACACCTAAACATACTATGTACAACCTATGTATAGACCCACACCTCTACATATACATAGCAAATAAATATTAAACACTGTCCATCTTGAATATATAACAGAAGGAGGAAGCTTCAGAGTTCACAAGGTTAATGCTGTATGGAATGAAACTATGGCTGAATCTGGATGTTCTGCTATGGATACCGCGAAGCCTCCTCACAGAAGGTAACAAGGAAAACAGGCTGTGGAGAGGATGTGTAGTGTCCCAGATAAGATGTGTAGTGTCCCAGATAAACACCATTTTAGCATTTTCCCTGCCAGCTGGGCACCAAAAGGGGCCAACTTCTGCTTTCTTCCCAAAGGCAACTAGACCTTCTCGTTTTGCTAGGTGTCGCTTCTCATCCCGGAAACCTCTTCAGTTCTGTCTGAATGGCGGAGAACGGTCAAAACTGAAGAAGCTTCTTGGATGAGAAGCGACATCTCTTCAAGCAAAACGAGAAACTCCATTTGTCTTTGGGACGACCATGATCTGGATCAGTGTTTCTCAACCTTGACAATTTTAAGGCATGTGGACTTCAACTCCCAGAATTCCACAGCCAGCATTGCTGGCTGTGGAATTCTGCAAGTTGAAGTCCACATGCCTTAAAATTGTCAAGGTTGAGAAACACTGATCTGGATGGACAACTGAGAATCTCCATAGACGGGGGTGGGGGTGGGGGTGGTGTGTGTGTGGTGGTGTGGTGGTGTGGTGGAGGGAACCTTGGTTCTTCGATGACTCGTGGACTTCAACTCCCACAATTCCCGAGTCAGCATGCCTGGGTCAGGAATTCTGGGTATTGGTCCACAAGTCACAAAAGAGCCAAGGTCGCCTACCCAAGTGTCATAGACGTTCAAGTCCTGGTGCAATTTCTCCTGCTTTTATTTTGAAAAGAGCTCCAACTTTTCACTTTTTTTGCCAACTGAACTCAGCCAAGGCCGCTTTGCCAGCCTGGGGTGAGCTTGCCTAGGTGTGCAAGGCTAGTGGGGGGAGTCTTTCACAGGTGCACCGATGCTTGCAGGGGCCAAGAGGTGTGCAAAACTTCAACAGGTGAACCAGAGCCAGCCAGACCCAGAAAACCTTCTTTTTGACGCAGAGGAATCAAGAAAAGCGCCTTCCGAGTTTGACTGAAGGAGGTAAAGCCCTATTTGCATTCGTTCGTTCATCCATCCATCCATTATCCAGAAGCCTCAGAATGGCCCCTTTTCGATCTGGGACAAGTCGGTCGTGTGTATCAACCCTTAAGGACGCAAACGCGAGTTCACAAAACCTTGTATGCCCTTTCCAAGCATTCACGGCATGGTGGTGGCGGGGCGGGGCGGGGGGAGACAAACCTGGGTCAATTACCCACCCATCCCCGCTGGCAAAGCAGGGCCCGGGGTCCCCACAATCCTGCGACGGGGACCAGTTTGCAGGACACCTCCGCCCCCTTCCCCAAGTTAGAAAGCGACTCCGGGGCGGGCAGGAGGGGCAGCGAGCGCAAGCCGCGGAATGGGGAGGGGGGGGCCGACTCCGATTCCAGGTTCGGGGCGTCGTGCGAACGCGGCCTTTGTCGAGGCGGAGCCAACGCCGATCCGCCGGCAGGGGGCGGTGGGGCCAGGAGCCTCGCCTGCTCTGCGGCTCCGCCATTAATCCAGCGCCCAGCCGGCGGGATCGAAGAGGAGCGAGCGAGCGAGCGAGAGAAAAGGCGCGGCGCCGTCGGATTCCCCCAGCCCGCGATCCGGGGACCGGGCTCCGCTTCCCGGCGGGGCGCCCGGGTGCAAGGGGGCCGAGCAGCCGCCCCGCTTGCACCGGGATTGCAGGTACGCGCCGGGTCCCTTCGCGCACGGGAGGGCTGGACGCCGCCTGGCCCCGGCCTGCTCTTGCTGGCCCCGGGAGCCGGAGGAGGGCCCCCTGCCTCCGCCGCCCTTTGGCCGGCGCTCCGGGTGGAGCCGGCGGGCGCAGGAGTGAATCCCGGGGCGCTGCAGCCGTCTGCGATCTCCTGCGCCCCGGAGGTCCGCTTTGCGCTGCGCCCGCCTTGCAAAGGTCCTTCGCGGGACAAACGGGCGGCGGGGAGGGGGGGGGTCAATCTTTGTTGTCCGCCATTCCGTCTTTGCTTTCCGCTGGCCGAGCCGGCTCGTGGCCGCCGGGTTAGAAAGCCGGCAAGAGGAGGCGTGGTTAAAGCTCGGAGCGGAGACCACGAGGAAATTCCCTGGGCTGCAGGCTAGCTTGGGGGAACGGAGAAAGTGTTCCAGAAGGAGGCAGCGGGGGGAATGAGTTCCTTTAATTTAGATGTCCAGGAGACTAGGGGAGTCTTGGGTGAAATCAGGCATCTCCCACTCCATTAACGGAATAACAGAGTTGGAAGGGAGCTTGGAGGTCTTCTAGTCTGACCTCCCTGCTCAAGCCAGAAATCCTATCCCACTTCAGACAAATGGCTGTCCAATCTGTTCTTTAAAATCTCCAGTGTTGGAGCCCCCACAACTTCTGGAGGCAACTCCTTTCACTAATTAATAGTTCAGAAAATTTCTCCTTATTTTTAGGTTGCTTCTTTCCTTAGTTAGTTTTCATCCTTTGCTTCTTAGAAGTCTTGGGTGCTTTGGAGACTGGATTTACACCCCCCCCCATTCTTTGTGGCTGCTCCTCAGATATTGGAACATTGCTATCTTGTCACCCTGACTCCTAATTGAGCAGAGGGCTCGACTAGAAGATCTCCAAGGTCCCTTTCCAGTTCTGTTCTGATTCTGATGAGTCCTTCTTTTCACTAGAGTAGACATACCCATTTCCTGCAACCGTTCTTCATATGTTTTAATCTCCAGTCCCCTAATTATCTTTGTTGCTCTTCTCTGTACTCTTTCTAGAGTCTCAGCATCTTCTTTATGTTGTGGTGATCAAAACTGGACGCAGTATTCCAAGTGTGGCCTTACTAAGGCTTTATAAAGTGGTACAAACACTTTTTGTGATCTTGATTCTGTCTCTTTGTTAATGCAGCCTTGGTGCTTTTGACAGATGCAACACACTGCTGGCTCATGTTTTAAGTGATTGTTCACTAGGACTCCTAGATTCCTCTTGCAGTTACTACTGTTGAGCAGTGTACCGCCTATTCTGTACCTAATAGAATTAGAGAGACTTGTTTAAAATAATCATTTATTTATTTAAGAGCTTTGCACTCATCAAAAAACACAACTCTGGGCGCTTATCAAGATATCTCCTCTCTCTCTTGTCCTGGAAACATAATTTGAACCTAGTTTTAATTAACTATAGGGTGTGTTTAATAATGCTGTGTTGAATAATGAGCGTGATCTTTCACTGTAGTAATCTGAACTATGATTTAAAAGCCATAAAAGATAAGTTTATGTAGCAGGTAAAGGCAAACTGCTGTGATTAAGGTTGTCCCAGTCTTTTTCCCTCAGCTTCCAAAAGGATGTTTTTTTAACTGCAGGGTTGAATTACCTTCATATAATACTTTGGGCTTAGGTAATGTTGGCAATTGGTTAAATTGTTAAAATTTGGCCTTCCAAATCAACTATTTCTTTGATTGTTCTTTTTTTTTGATGTTTTGGAAAGAGGAAATCTGTGGAGATAGTCTTTTGGAGATAGTTACTTGACCCCAAAGATTGATAACTAGAAAAACAATGGAAATGTATCTTGAAATGTGCTTAACTATGAATTAAATTAATTTACACTTTCTGAGGAGAAAACTTTTTAAATAAAAGGACAGCAGCAGTTGGCTCCCCACAGACATAGGAGGAGAGAGGCAGAAAAATGACTCCGGCCTGTTAATATATCTGGGGCACTAAAAACCCTATTTTATTATTTATTTATTTATTTATTTATTTATGATACTTATATACCACTTTTAAGTGCAAGCACTGTCTAAGCGGTGTACACCAGTAAGCAATGTATGTATATATTTACATTACCCCCAACAATCTGGGTCCTCATTTTACCTACCCCGGAAGGATGGAAGGCTGAGTCAACCTTGAGCCAGTGAGATTTGAACCGCTGACCTGCTGAACACAGTCAGCTAAAGTGGCCTGCAGTACTGCACTCTAACTGCTGCGCCACCTCGGCTCATTATTTTATTTATTATTACATTTATTGGCCGCCCACCTAGCTACGAAGCCAGGAGCCAGGGGTCTTTGGCCTTCTGAAACTGTGACTGCATCTGGAGGGTAATTGTACAGGTAGTCCTTGAGGTACAACCGGTTGCTTAGCAACCATTCAAACATTCAGTGGAATCCCCGAAAGTTAGTTACAACCCAGTTCTAATATTCCGATGGATGCTCCCCCATGATCATGTGACTACATTACAGGCACTTAGGCAATGGCCCGCATTTACAGGCATTTGCTATGTCCTGCAGTCACATGACCATGACATATGACAGTTTGGCTTCTGGTTATTGGCAAAAATGCCCCATACAGGTAGTCCTTGACTTATGACCACAGTTCAACCCAAAATTTCTGTTGCTAAGTGAGACAGTTGTTCAGTGAGTTTCTTTTAAATAGCTAGAATTTAGGGGTAGACAACCTTGGCTCTTTTATGAACTCGTGGACTTCAACTCCCAGAATTCCTGAGCCGGCTCCATGCTGGCTCAGGAATTCTGGGAGTTGAAGTCCACGAGTCATAAAAGACCCAAGGTTGCCTACCCCTGATCAGGCTGCCTATGATAATTCTTTTGATTTTCCCCTAAATTTTATTCATTTATTTTGAAAATTGATATGGGCTCCGTACAGTTAGTCCTCAATTTACGACCGGTCGCCTAGCAACTGTTTGAAGTTATGATGAAATAATTATGATGTTCCAAAGTTGTGATGGCTGCACCCCCGCCCCAGTTATGTGACCGGGTGAGGGGCAACAGGCAGCCAGCCTTCATTTACAGCCATTTGCTGTGTCCTGTGCTGACACGACTGCCTTTTGCGACATTTTGGCTGAAAACCGTCACTCACTTCCAAGTTTTATGGCAAAAAAGATCCACAGTATCTAATGGGTTCCTTTTATGATCACAGCGTTCGCTTCGTGATCGCAGCAAACAGATCATAAAAATGGGTCTGGTTATGTGGCAACCCTGTTTATGATCATCATGACTTACCTCAGTAATGGGCAGGTTCCATTTGAGTCAGAAGTCGAGGACCCCCTGTATAAACTTGAAGCTGGGCAGCTAATGAACAATGCATAAACACATTAAGGCATTAATTAATGATTATGGTGACTATTTGCCATTAAGCTGTTGTGGACACTTAGTGGCCCCATAGATAGATCATCTCAGTGATGATCTGCCCCCATCCTGGTCCTTCAGCTCTCCCAATATTCTCCCATTAACACTGTACAGACAATCCTTGATTTACAGCCACAATTAGGAGCCCAAAACTTCTGTTGTTAGGCAAGACAGCTGTTCTTTGAGTTTTGCCCCATTTTCTGACCTGTCTTGCCACAGTGGTTAAGTGAATCACTGCAGTTGCTAAGTTAGTAACGTGGGTTGTTCGGGGAACCTGGCTCCCCCTTTGAGTTTGCTTGTCAGACGGTCGCAAAAGGGGATCATGTGACTCCTGGGACACTGCAGCCGTCATAAATACGAGCAGCTGCCAAGAGTCCAGCGTTTGATCATGTGACTGTGGGGATGCTGCAGTGGTCATATGTGTGAAAAAAACTGTCGTAAGTCACTAATTTCATTCCCCGTGTAAGTTTAAATGGTCGCTAAATGAATGGTAGTAAGTTGAAGACTACCTATAATTGAATCTGTCCATCCATCCTGCTGTTGGGCCTGCTCATCTCTTTTCTTCTGCCTTTTCCATCATTAGAGCTTTCAGCATATAAAGCTTGTCAAGGTAATGATTTAGAAGTGAACCACCTGGTATAATGTGAGATGAATGATGCAATGGCCACACCTGGAATACTGCATCCAGTTTTGGTCACCATGATGTAAAAAAGGTGTTGAGACTCTAGAAAAAGTACAGAAAAGAGTAACAAAGATGATTAGGGGACTGGAGGCTAAAACATATAAGGAACGGCTGCTGGAATTGGGCATCTCTGGTCTAATGAAGAGAAGGACAAAGGGGGACATGATAGCAGTGTTCCAATATCTCAGGGGCTGCCCCGGAGAAGAGGGAGTCAAGCTATTCTCCAAAGTGCCTGAAGGCAGGACAAGAAGCAACGGATTGAAACTAACCAAGGAGAGAAGCAACCTAGAACTGAGGAGAAACTTCCTGAAAGTTAGAACAATTAACCAGTAGAACAACCTGCCTCCAGAAGCGGTGAATGCTCCAACACTGGAAGTTTTTAAGAAGAGACTGGACAGCCATTTGTCTGAAATGGTGTAGGGTTTCCTGCCTGAGCAGGGGGTTGGACTAGATGACCTCCAAGGTCCCTTTCAACTTCATCATCATCATCATCATCATCATCATTATTGTTAAGTCTGGGGTGTTATGTTGCAGGTGCTTGATTGTTTGAATTCTGAAGTCCCAGAGCAGTTTAATTTCATCATTTTCTATGACTTTCTCTATTTTATGATCCCACCAGTTCTTGCTTACAGGCAAATGATATTTCTTCCAGATCTTCCAATGTACCATTGTTGTTACTTTGTCATGCCGCTGCTTGTAGTCAGTCTGTGCAATCTTCTTCAAGCAGCTTACCAGGTGGTCCACTGTTTCTTCAGATTATTATTATTAATAATATATTTTGTGTATTATTTATTAATAAAAATATAAAACACCACAAAATAAGTTAAGAATGTTTTAACAAAGGGGCTTCAGATACGTTGGGCTCCACTGCTGTAATGTCCTTGCCCAAATTCAAAGAGGGCAGCCTGGCGTGCTGTGATCGGCAGACAGTGTCACGAAATACTCCTCGAGTTACAACAGTTCAGTTAGTGACCATTCAAAGTCAACGGTGGCCCTGAAAAAAAAAAGGGGGGACTTATGGCCCATTTTTCAGAGTTAACGAACTTTGCAGCATCCCCCCCCCAGGGTCACATGATCAACATTCAGCCATTTGGCAACTGGCTCATATTTATGATGGTCGCGGCGGTCACGTGATCCCCTTTTTGCGACCTTCTGACAAGCCGGGTCCACGGGGAAGCCGGATTCACTTAACAACCGGGTGACTAACTTAACAACTGCAGTGATTCGCTTAGCAACTGGGGCGAGAAAGGTCGTGAAATGGGACAAAACTCGCTTGAGAGACTGCTGAGCCATCAAAAAAGAGGGTTGTCTGGGGCTTTCGAGTGAAAACGAAACAAAGGAAAGTTCCCCTCACACACACCAGTCCACCAACACAGTCGTAAGCCAGTCTCTCCGTTTCCTTTCCGCCCCCCCCCCGGCCCACTTCACTTCGTGAAGGCTTTAGGCGGGAAAACGCGCGACGCACTATCAGCAGGCTCTTCCTCCTTGGACATGCCGGCCTTTTGTTATTGGTTTAAACGCTCAGAGGGTCTGTTTTGACGTGAGCCCATTGGCTGAGAGCAACGGGGTGTGTGTGTGGCTTCAAAGCCCTGATCAAACGCAAGCGCTGCTGTTTCTGCAGAGGGCAGGTCTGATTTCTGCTTTTTGACGTTAGTGGCGAAATGGAGCCCTGCCCGCGCGCGTCCTCTGTAAAAGTGGTTTTCTCAAAGTCAGATGTTTATTTGGAAAAATGCGTGACTGATACAATAGAATATTTGTTGCGTAGGGTTGAAATGAGGGCTGCTTGGGTCAGTGTCTTACCCTTCTCAATATGGGCACATCTTTTAACTCATTCTTTGGGGAATAATCAGAGTTTACAATTTATTACATTCTTCAATAGTCTCAACCACAGCAATTTTGGGCTCCATTGAGGTGGTAAGTGGAGGACCGCCTGCAATACCCACACTGGGATGGAGAACTGGGTGCCGTTTTCCTCATGATCCACGGCGTCTTTTCTTCCCTTCTCTCCAAAGGGGCAAAGTGACCGAACCTGATGTCTCTCAAAGGGTCTCAGGCAATCTCAGAAGGAATCCGTTAACCCAGGGGGGTCAAACTCAATTTCATTGAGGGCTGCATCAGCATTGCGGTTGCCCTGGGGGGGGTGTGTGTGGCCAGGGTGGGTGCGGCCTACTGGGTGGGTGTGGATGGAGTGGGTGTGGCCTACTGGGTGGGCGTGGCCAGCTCTACATCGTTCACGTCAAGGGTGCCTGTGGGGGCCTGGGCAGGAGTGGGACAGATCTGAGGGTCTCTGGCAGAAGGGGGTGGGACCAGGGCAAGCGCCAAGGCATGGTGCGTTTCTTCATTCCTCACAAAGGGTGACACCTCCCCAGCATGCACCCAGGGGGCGGGGCTGATGCGGCAGGGGCTGGTTCCTCGCTGTTTCCAGATGGCCTTGTGGAGCTAAGACTGAATGCGTTTCAGCATAGATGGCCACCACAAAATTGTACATTGGCTCCCGGCCGGCCTGGGCCAGGGCCAAGGCAGCAGGGGCCGTTCCCTCACTGTTTCCAGGATGGCTTCGCGGGCCACATGAAACCACTTATTGGACTTCTTACATTCCCGTGAGACGTCAACCTCCACATAACCGCATTCTAAGAAAACTTAATGCTTTTTAAATCCTTTAATTTTTTTTTTTTTTTGAATCTTTAAAGTGCCCCAGCCCTTTGGATTGTGTGTCTGTGTGTCTGTGTGCATTTTTGCTAAAATGAATTATTGTAACAGAATAACAGTGTTGGAAGGGATCTTGGAGAGGAGAAAATAGAATAGAATAGAATAGAATAGAATAGAATAGAATAGAATAGAATAGAATAGAATAGAATAAGAAAAAAAAAATAGAATAGAATACTTAAGGTTTCTAATTTAGCAGAAATGGCAAAGATTTCTGCTTATTTAAAGGACCATACACAAGAAAAATTTATTATAGTGTGGAGAAGGTGGATAGATTATATTCAGAATAAAAATGGAACTTTAAACTTCCATTTATTTTATGATTAATTTTTTTCTTGAAATAATAATTATTATTTATAGAATTTTATTTGATTTATAGTAGATTTGTTTATATTATTATTCTTAAAGTTAAGAGGGAGTTAAGGGTTAAGTATGAATTTGTTTATTGTATAAATTTTTTGTTTTAAAAGTTATAGATTGTGTTTGGTTTGTTTTGTTTAGAATAACCCTGTATTTTGCTCCGGGAAGCGGGGGGGGGGTAGGGGGGGAGGGGATGGGTGGGATTAAGTAGGTTAGATAAATAGAAATATTAATGTATAAAATAGATAGAGTAATTCAGAGGGAGGTGCCGCTCGGGTATTTCCCCTGAACAGTATCCAAAGAGGGATGAGAGGGGAGGAGGAAGTGATGGAAGGAAGTTGGATGGGAGAAAGGGATGAAGGGAGAGAGGAGATGAGAGGAGAGAGGGAGTAGGGAAGTAAGGAAGGAAGGTTGAGAGGGCAGACGCAGTTGGGGGGAGATAGACGAGCGACACCTAAGGTCTTATTTTAAAGGTATTTTTCTTTTTTTATTCTTTTTATATAATGTATTGAAAGTATTAAATGTATTGAAAAATGAAAATAAATTAAAAAAAAAATAGAATAGGAATAGGAATAGGATAGCTTAAATCTGTTTCTCAACCTTGACAATTTTAAGGCATGTGGACTTCAACTCCCAGAATTCCATAGCCAGCATTGCTGGCTGTGGAATTCTGGGAGTTGAAGTCCACATGCCTTAAAATTGTCAAGGTTGAGAAACACTGGCTTAAATGGACTCCAGAAGATGGTAGAGGACAGGATGGTCTGGAGGAATGTTGTCCATGGGGTTGCAATGGGTCGGACATGACTTCTCAACTAACAACAACAAAAGTAGAACAGAACAGAACAGAACAGAACAGAACAGAACAGAACAGAATAGAATAGAATAGAATAGAATAGAATAGAATAGAATAGAATGACAGCTCCTGAAGGCAAGTTGCTCCACTGATTAATTGTTCTAACTGTCAGGAAATTTCTCCTTAGTTCTAGGTTGGTTCTCTCCCTTGAGATGGTCCCCAAAGTTCTCTTCTTTTTTTCTTTTTTCTTTTGCATATATCACACTTTTTCTTCTTATTTTTGGTTTGTGTTTGTTTAGGAAGGAGTTCCCTCTCCAAATCAAGAGAGCTTCACAGTGTCGGCTGTAACCTGGAAGCTAACACACTCCTGGCTTGGGATTCCACTCTGCCAGTCTAGAGGAGAAAATGTGTCTTGGATTTCAAGTGAGCATTTGAAAAAAGAAAAAAAAAGTGGAAAAAGGCTTCCCCTCCAGTTAGCTCAATCGGAACCGGGTGTTTATAACAAGCGATCCAGTTCCAAACTGGTGGTTTGACAGCTGGGGTTAGACATGGAGCCAAAATCTAGAACTCCACAAGGGGAAGACGGTCTGGATCGGGTAAGGAAAGCCTGCAGTGAGGATTTTTCCAAATGCACAGAGATGGAGCCCTTAGGATGGAAGCTCCCACAAGGAATCAAACGAGAATCTTGTCGAGTGATGCAGCAACCCTGGAAAACCCAATGGCGGGACTTTCTGAAGACCTTGCCGTGTCCCCACGTGGGATGGGAGGAGGACTCCGAGGTGCTGGGCAACACCCCTTGGGAGGACCCCAAGGCCTTCCTGGTCTCCTTTGAGCAGGTGGCCCAAGCCTGCCAGTGGCCCAAGGGCGAGTGGGTGACTCGGCTCCTGCCAGCCCTGAGCGGAGAAGTGAAGCGGGCCTTCAGTGGCCTAGAAGCCAGAGACAAGGAGGATTATGGGAAAGTGAAGGCGGCCATCTTGAGAGGGGAAGCCATCAGGATCGAGGTGCAACGGCAGCACTTCCGTCAATTCCGCTTCCAGGAGATTGAAGACCCGCGCAGGGTTTACGGACAATTGCAAAGGCTTTGCCGCCAGTGGCTGAAGCCGGAGAGACGCAGCAAGGAGCAGATCCTGGAGCTGCTGATCCTGGAGCAGTTCCTGACCAGCCTCCCACCGGAGCTCCAGAGCTGGATCCGAGCAGGAGGACCGGACACCTGTTCCCAGGCGGTGGCCCTGATAGAGAATTTCCTGTTGAACCGGCAGGAGGCTAAGGTAGGAAGGTGGCAGGCCTGTAATGTTTGAACCTCTCTGCAGGACAGGGGTGTGAAAAGCTAGGCAAAGTTAAGCTTTAGCACGGGTTGTCCTTGCTTAATGCGAGAATTGGGACCCGGATTTCCATCGCTAAATGATGCATTCATAAAGTACGATGTTACATGACTGCATTGCTTAGTGACGGCACAAAACCACCATCCGCCGTTTGGTAAGTGAAAACCACAGATTAGTAAGCGAGGGCCTCACTTGACTGGCAACTTCCTGCCAGCTTCCCATAAAGTCAGTGGGGAAGCCGGCTGGACATCGCAAGTCCCAGATGGCTTGCAAGCAGGCCAGAGGGCGGGTAGGTACTACAGAGTGAGGTGGGGTGTGTGCTCGGTGTTAAATGTGTGCACACTAGGGAGGGGGTATTGCTGCGCAAATGTGTGCTACGGAGTACTCTTGCCACAGGGCTCCTCGGGAGAAAAGGCAGCGGGTGCAACTTGCGAGCTTGTCGGCTGGCCTCCCACATTGATTTTGCTTGTGGGAAGGTTGCAGATGGGGATTCACGTGATCGTGGGACACCGCAAGCATTGTGTAAGTGCGAACCGATTGCCAAGCGCCCAGATTGTGAACACGTGACTGTGGTGGTGGTGGTGCAGCAGCTGGAATATTGAGGAACGGTTATACCACTCTTAGGATTACTCTTACGTTTAAAAGACAAAGGTTGCTCTTTCGAAGACAGCAAAGTCCACATTTTGGACAGAGAGGACTGCTGGTTTGAAAGAGGGGGTCAAAGAGGCCCTCTGAGTCAAAACTGAACAACAACTCATCTATCTCCAGGCTACAACACAGTTCTTTCAGCAGCCCCAAGAAGGCTCCACCCCCATTTGCATTCTGATGGTATGTTTTAAATGTGTGTTATGTATGTGTACACTTTGAGAGGAAACAACTAAATTTCATTTTTAATGTGTGCCATTGTGCCCATAGGAAAAAAATGTCAATAAAGGTTATCTATCTATTTATCTATCTATCTATCTATCTATCTATCTATCTATCTATCTATCTATCTATCTATCTATCATCTATCTATTTATCATTTATCTAGCTATCATCTATCTGTCATCTATCTATCTGTCTGTCCCTCCATCTACCTGTCTGTCTGTCTATCTATCTATCTGTCTGTCTGTCTGTCTGTCTGTCATCATTCATCCATCCATTCATCCACCCACCTATCTATCTATCATCCATCCATCCATCCACCCACCCACCCACCCACCCACCCACCCACCCACCCATCTATCTATCTATCTATCTATCTATCTATCTATCTATCTATCTATCTATCTATCTATCTATCTATCATCTATCTATTTATCATTTATCTATCTATCATCTATCTGTCATCTATCTATCTGTCTGTCCCTCCATCTACCTGTCTGTCTGTCTGTCTGTCTATCTATCTATCTATCTATCTATCTATCTATCTATCTATCTATCTATCTATCTACCTACCTATCTATCTACCTATCTATCTATCTACCCACCTATCTATCTGTCTGTCTGTCTATCATCATCCACCCACCCACCCACCTATCTATCTATCATCCATCCATCCATCCACCCACCTACCAATCTACCTACCTATCTATCTATCTATCTATCTATCTATCATCCACCTACCTATCATCTATCATCCACCCACCCACCCACCCATCTACCTATATCTATCTGTCTGTCTGTCTGTCTGTCTGTCTGTCTATCATCATCCTATCTATCATCATCCATCCACCCACCCACCTATCTCTCTATCATCTATCTATCTATCTATCTATCTATCTATCATCCACCCACCCACCAACCCATCCACTGGCCGGATCAGGTGACCCTGAGGGCACAGATAAACCCCAAGTGACCTCAACAACTCTCTTAAAAGGATGCAAATGACCAGCTGTCTGCAAGGAGTATAAATCCTTCCCTTCCCCACCATCCAGTCATAGCCGAAGAAGCTTCTTGGAGGAGAAGCGAAACGTCTCCAAAGAAAACACAAGGAAGTCCCATTGCCTCGTGAAAAAGCACCTTTGGGTTACCCCACTCGTTTGACGCATTGCAACTTCAAACAGTCACTGAATGAGCGGTCGTTAACTGGGGGCAGCTTGTAGAAAAAGGTGTTGGTGCCCAGTAGGCAGAATTTTTCATGCTTCAGCTGAATTATCCTGTTTTGATCCGAAATTGGATTCTCCTGTCTCATTTAGGAGCCACCGCAGGAAGTGATCACCAAGAGTTCCCTGGGTGAAGAGAGGGTTACTTTGAAGATTGACCAGGAAGAGATCTATAAAGACATTAAACAGAACAATAATGGAGTTATCCATTTGCTGGGTAAGGAAATGCCAGGGATTAAAGCAGGGGCTTCCATAATGGGGGGTGGGAGTCAAAAAAGTCCTCAAAGAACAGTGGCTGTCTTCAGATCGCACTAAGCCAGGGGTAGGCCACCTTGGCTCTTTTGTGACTCATGGACTTCAACTCCCAGAATTCCTGAGCCAGCCATGTTGAGGGGAAAGGAAGAGGTTTCCAAGCTGAGCCATGCTGGCCCAGGAATTCTGAGAGTTGAAGTCCACGAGTCATAAAAAGAGCCAAGGTTGTCTACCCCTGGGCTAGATGATCTACAAAGGGGTCTTCAAACTTGGCCCTTTTATGACTCGTGGACTTCAACTCCCAGAATTCCTGAGCCAGCCATGCTGAGGGGAAAGGGAGAGGTTTCCAAGCTGAGCCATGCTGTCTCAGGAATTCTGGGAGTTGAAGTCCACGAGTCATAAAAGAGCCAAGGTGGCCTACCCCTGCACTAAGCTGTCCCGCTCACTCACACACACACATAATGGTGGTTTAGTGGGTTTATCTTGTTTGGGAAACTTTTCAAGTGCCTTATGGATTCTTTAGCCATTGCTCTATGGACTAGCATTGGTCTGTTTTTGGCTGGACTTAGTTGGGACAGTTCTGCGTTTTTGGTGAAGGGAATTGCTGGGGAATATTAATAAACCCACTAACCCACCATTACATGTGCGTATGTGACTGAGCAAGGCAGCCCCCATGCTGAGCACTATTCCAGTTTGTTCAGCTTTGGGTTAGCACAATGTGTGTGCCCTGTTGCTGGCAATTTAAAAAACTTTATATATATATATATTCAAAAAAAAAATTGTGGCCCACTAACTCTTTGTCAGCCATAAAAAATATGAATTCACAGTATGTGACATCTGCCTGTAAAACATGCTCCTAGATTGGAGCGAAACACAGAACAGACTGATTTATCCTATATTTGGTAGACCGGGTGCTCCAGCCAACACACACACACACACACACACACACACTCTAAATAAAAGTATTATTTTATAAACCTTTAATCTTAACTTTGGTTAAGAAGCCAAGGCTCAGCACTGTATTTGAACTGATTTATCCTATATTTGGTAGACCGGGTGCTCCAGCCAACACACACACACACACACACACACACACACACACATATAAAGGCTTTGAGTATTGTGCTAATGAGCCAGTATTATAAATAAAAATATTATTTTATAAACCTTTAACCTTAACTTTGGTTAAAAAGCCAAGGCTTAGGCCTGTATTTGAACCAGCTAGTGGGAGTGTGTCTTGAATGTATAGCTGGAGAAGAGTGAGCATGTTCCTTGAACTTAACTAGAGAGTTTGAAGTTTGAATAATTTTCCCTCCCTGCAAACAAACAAAAAATGGAGCGAGTTGGACAAAGTAACCCAAATTTGTTTCTAATTTGCCGATGGGAGTTTTTGATGCCAGGGACCACTCAGGTTTTTTTCAATATTGTATTTTCTTGTTCCCTTCCCTTTTCTAAAAAAAATAAAAATATTCTGTCTTTTAAAGATAATGGAAGTAAAGAATCTAGTGGTTCCAGCTCCTTGCTTCCTCCCGAGGGAGAAGAAACAGATAAAGCTTCTCCTAGTAAGGTAGGTGAAACTTTGGATGAACAAATGCAAAAGACGGGTTAAGAGAGAGAGGGAGGGAGGGAGAGAGAGAGAGAGAGAGGGGGAGGGAGGGAGGGAGGGAGGGAGGGAGGGAGGGAGAGAGAGAGAGAGAGAGAGAGAGAGAGAGAGAGAGAGAGAGAGAGAGAGAGAGAGAAGGGTCCTTTGGAAAAAAATTGGGCTGAAGGATATTAGATATTAGAATTCTTTTTTTTGTAATATATTTTACTGATTTTTTTTAAGAACATAAATTATGATAACTGGTGAACAGTGAGTTCTCTCGGTTACATTTGTAAAACAATCATTAACAATTAATTTCTATACTCCATATTCCACATAATAATTTTAGTTGATTTCCTCTTTCCGCAAAATATCCTCTTTTGCAAACATTGAGTTAATTCAATTCTTATTGTTTTGATATGTTTTCTGAGGTTTTCGCGGGTATTTGTATGTAGGTCTTTGGTTGTTCGGGTTTTCTCCCGCGTAAAATTGGAAATGTCTTGGCGACGTTTCGACGAAGTCCCATTCGTCATCTTCAGGCTGGTGTCTTCAGCTTCGTGCTTCGAGCAGCAATGTGTGGTCTTAGCTGTTTCTTCCTTTTAACTGCCAGTGGGGGTATGAACTGATTGGGTGGGAGCTTGGCTGTGTTCTGATTGGGTGGAGGTGTGTTCTGATTGGTTAGGGGCGTGGCTGTGCTCTGATTGGCTGGGGGGTTGGCTGTGCTCTGATTGGCTGGGGGGTTGGCTGTGCTCTGATTGGCTGGGGGAGTGTTCTGTTTGGTTGTGCTCAGGTTAGTCTGAGTTGCAGAGGGGTTTAAGATTTTGGGCTGCCTTGCTATTTTTTGGCTTCGCGTTCGTGGTCGTGCCTCATTTTCATGGAGGGTGTCAGTTTGCTTCATGTATGGATTGGAGGGCTTTAAAGTGGCTAATGATGCAGCTCTGGTCTGGCTTCTGGTTTGTGGTCGTGCCTCATCATCGGTGTGGCTTTGGGTTTGCTTTTTGCGTGGATGTGTGGTGGTGACATCCTGTGTGGTTTTTGTGAGTGTGGGTCTGGTATCATTTTTTGTGTTAGGGAGTCGTTTGTCAATAAGGGCGGGTTTCCAAATGGCTGGTAGGCGGGAGGTATCATCTCGCTTGTTCATGCTGTGTGGGCGTTTTTCTATCTCGATGGCTTCTCTGATTATTCTGTTATTAAAATGTTCACTTTTGGCAATGGTTCTGGTATTTTTAAAGTCAATTTCATGTCCTGTGGCTTTAAGGTGTTGGACCAGGGAAGATGTTGGTTCCTCTTTTTTGACTGAGTTCTTATGTTCTTCAATGCGTGCACTTATTCTTCTGTTGGTTTGTCCGATGTATGTGGTGGGACAAGTGGTGCATGGGATTTCGTATACTCCTTGATTTTCTAATTCAATTTTATCTTTGGGGTTTCTAAGGATGGTGGATATTTTTCTGTTTGTGCAGAATGCTGTTTTGATGTTGTGTTTATGGAGGATCTTACTGATTCTGTCTGTGGTGCCTTTTATGTATGGGAGGAGGGCTTTGCCGTTTTCTTGTTCTTTGTCTTGGATTTTAGTGGGGGTTTCTTTTTGGATTAGGTTTGTAATCTTATTTCTATGGAATCCATTGGATGTTAGTACATTGGTGAGAGTGTGTAGTTCGGGTTTTAGGTGTTGTTCGTCAGCTAAGCGTTTTGTTCTGGAGATGAGTGTCTTGGCTACAGAGTTGATCTGTGCTGGGTGGTGGTGTGAGAGAGCGTGCAGATAGCGGTTTGTGTGTGTTTTCTTCTGGTAGATGGTGTGTCCTAGGGAGCCATTGGATTTCTTGTAGACTAAGACATCCAGGAAGGGAAGTTGGTTGTTAGCTTCTGTTTCCATGGTGAACTGTATTTTGGGGTGTAGGCTGTTGAGGTGTGTGAGGAAGTTGTCCAGTTTTTCTTTCCCATGTGGCCAGATTATGAAGGTGTCGTCTACAGTATCTGAGCCAGAGTTTGGGTTTGTGATCCGATTTTTCTAGAGCTTGGGTTTCAAAATGTTCCATGTAGAGGTTGGCAATGACAGGTGAGAGGGGTGATCCCATGGGTGCTCCTTCTGTTTGTTTGTATTTTTGTCCATTATAGATGAAGTATGTGTTGGATAGGCAGTGGTTGGTCAGATCTAAGATGTGTTTGGGGGGGGTTATATTTGTTTTGAATAGCTGTCAAGGCTTCTTTGATAGGCACCTGGATGAAGAGGGATATGACATCGAAGCTCACTAGTAGGTCACTGGGCTGTAAGTTTTGTTTTTTTATGATCTCTATAAACTGGAATGAGTTTTTTACGTGTGAGGTGATGGATTCTGCATAGGGCTGTAGTTGTTTGGCGAGAAATTTGGCTAGGTTTTGTAGAGGTGAGCCTATGGAGCTGACTATAGGTCTGAGTGGGGTTCCTTCTTTGTGTATCTTGGGGAGACCATAGAGTTTGGGGCATCTGGATGATTTCTCTCTGGGAATGATTCTTTGCTGGATCTCTTCGCTAATGGGGGAGGCTTTTATTTTGGATCTGGTGGTTTTTTCCAGGTAAGTGGTGGGATCTATTTAGGGGTTTGTATGTGGAGTCTTGGAGTAGGTTGGTTAATTTGGTTTGGTAGTCAGATGTGTTCATAACCACCGTGGCGTTGCCCTTGTCTGCTGGTAGGATTATTATGCTGGTGTCTTTTTTCAGGTTATGTAGTGCTGTCTGTTCCTCTTTGGGTAAGTTGCTTTTGGGTGGCTTGCTGGTGCAGAGGATGTTGGTGATTTCGAGTCTGATTCTGAATTAACAAAAATCTCCTCACACTCCACCTCAAACTCAGCAACAAGATCCACCCCGCACTTTGGGACAAATCCAAACAACTCGCCGTCTGGAGAGCCGAAACACAGACCACCCTCAAGACAGATACACACACCAACAAACTCCAAAGACTACAAGAACGCCAGAAACAAACCCCTCCTCCCTCACAGCCACACATGAAACAAACAGTGCATAACATCTCAGATAGGATCCTCACCAAAGCCGAAACCAATGTCCTTTCCAAAGGATTCAACTTTGCAGTCGCTCCCAAACACATCCCCACTGAAACCATTATATGTGGAGTTGAAACCAGCCTGACCAAAACCAACCCCGACGACGCTAACAGAATCAGACTCGACAACTGGACAACTTCCTCACACACCTCAACAGCCTACACCCCAAAATACAGTTCACCATGGAAACAGAAGCTAACAACCAACTTCCCTTCCTGGATGTCTTAGTCTACAAGAAATCCAATGGCTCCCTAGGACACACCATCTACCAGAAGAAAACACACACAAACCGCTATCTGCACGCTCTCTCACACCACCACCCAGCACAGATCAACTCTGTAGCCAAGACACTCATCTCCAGAACAAAACGCTTAGCTGACGAACAACACCTAAAACCCGAACTACACACTCTCACCAATGTACTAACATCCAATGGATTCCATAGAAATAAGATTACAAACCTAATCCAAAAAGAAACCCCCACTAAAATCCAAGACAAAGAACAAGAAAACGGCAAAGCCCTCCTCCCATACATAAAAGGCACCACAGACAGAATCAGTAAGATCCTCCATAAACACAACATCAAAACAGCATTCTGCACAAACAGAAAAATATCCACCATCCTTAGAAACCCCAAAGATAAAATTGAATTAGAAAATCAAGGAGTATACGAAATCCCATGCACCACTTGTCCCACCACATACATCGGACAAACCAACAGAAGAATAAGTGCACGCATTGAAGAACATAAGAACTCAGTCAAAAAAGAGGAACCAACATCTTCCCTGGTCCAACACCTTAAAGCCACAGGACATGAAATTGACTTTAAAAATACCAGAACCATTGCCAAAAGTGAACATTTTAATAACAGAATAATCAGAGAAGCCATCGAGATAGAAAAACGCCCACACAGCATGAACAAGCGAGATGATACCTCCCGCCTACCAGCCATTTGGAAACCCGCCCTTATTGACAAACGACTCCCTAACACAAAAAATGATACCAGACCCACACTCACAAAAACCACACAGGATGTCACCACCAAACATCCACGCAAAAAACAAACCCAAAGCCACACTGACTGATGAGGCACGACCACAAACCAGAAGCCAGACCACAGCTGCATCATTAGCCACTTTAAACCCCTCCAATCCATACATGAAGCAAACTGACACCCTCCATGAAGAGGAGGCACGACCACGAACGCGAAGCCAAAAAATAGCAAGGCAGCCCAAAATCTTAAACCCCTCTGCAACTCAGACTAACCTGAGCACAACCAAACAGAACACTCCCCCAGCCAATCAGAGCACAGCCAATCAGAGCACAGCCCCCCCCAGCCAATCAGAGCACAGCCAAGCCCCTAACCAATCAGAACACACCTCCACCCAATCAGAACACAGCCAAGCTCCCACCCAATCAGTTCATACCCCCACTGGCAGTTAAAAGGAAGAAACAGCTAAGACCACACATTGCTGCTCGAAGCACGAAGCTGAAAGCACCAGCCTGAAGATGACGAATGGGACTTCGTCGAAACGTCGCCAAGACACTTCCAATTTTACGCGGGAGAAAACCCGAACAACCAAAGACCTAATTCGGGTTTTCTCCCGCGTAAAATTGAAGTGTCTTGGCGACGTTTCGACAAAGTCCCATTCGTCATCTTCAGGCTGGTGTTTTCAGCTGCTCAAGCACGAAGCTGAAAACACAGCCTGAAGATGACGAATGGGACTTCGTCGAAACGTCGCCAAGACACTTCCAATTTTACGCGGGAGAAAACCCGAACAACCAAAGACCATATATATATATATATATATATATATATATATATATATATATATATATATATATATATATATATATATATATATATATATCCCAATATTCCAAAAAATAATCATATCAGTATAATATTTCTTTTCTATTCAGTCATTCTGGTTGCCTAGATATTAGAATTCTTAATTGGCCAAGAGGGATTGGACACACAAGGAATTTGTCTCCTGTGCAGAAGCTCTCAGTATATATACAAGCAATAAATTATAAAAATATTATAATGATAAAATACAAGGTTAGATAAATAGAAGTATTAATCTTATTGTATATAATACAGATAGGGAAATTTGGAGAGAGGAGTTGCTCGGACATTACCCCTGAATTGTATCTGAAGAGGGATGAAGAAAGGAGAGGAGAGAGAAAAGAGTAAAGGAGGGGAGAAGGAAGTAGGAAGGCTGGAGGAAGAGGAAAGGGGAGGAGAGTGGTGAAGGAGAGGAGAGGAAGAAGAGGGAAGTAGGGAAGAGAAGAAAGGGAGAAAGAAGGTAGAGAAGAAGGAGTGTAGATACGGTGAAAGGGGAAATGGGCGAGCAACACCAAAAGTCATGTGTATGTATTTATTTCATTTTGTTAAAAGTATCTGTATGTGAGTGTGGTGGGAATGTATGTTAATATCTGATAAGTATTACGGTATATGTATCGGGGAGAGTTTGGAAAAATAAAAAATTATTAAAATAAATAAATAAATAAATAAATAAATAAATTATAAGAAACAGGGACAAGCAATAGAGCAGGGGTAGGCCACCTTGGCTCTTTTATGACTCGTGGACTTCAACTCCCAGAATTCCTGAGCCAGCCACGCTGAGGGGAAAGGGAGAGGTTTCCAAGCTGAGCCAGGCTGCCTCAGGAATTCTGGGAGTTGAAGTCCACGAGTCATAAAAGAGCCAAGGCGGCCTACCCCTGAACTAGAGACCTGGTGGCCGCTGGCTGAGGCTGCTGAAGGCCCTGGGCCTCTACTTCAGTTCCCGCACTGCCACTGAGAGCTGCCATTGTGCAGGATGGCCGAAAGGGAAGAGACGGGGGGGGGGGACTCGGGGGCCGTTCCTCATCTTACTGAGCCTCAGGACTGGGATGGACCCAGCTGGAAGTGGCTTGGATTGGGTCGGGTCCTTGCCTAACAACCGGTGGGATTCAGCTAATGAGGACAATGGGACGGGCCTGATTGGCATCCCTATTTGATGCAGTCACGTGACATCACACAGTACAACCGCATCGTTTAGTGAGGAAAATTCCAGTCCCACTTAACCATCGTAACTCGAGCATACCTGTATGGGCAAGTTTGCACAAAATACTGGCCCATGAGTTCATGCATTAGCCTAGTTGCTGGATTCATGTGCTGCACAAACTGGATAACCATTTTAGTCAAGGATTTGCCAATAGCTGTGTATCTTGCCAGAAGTATTCCCAGTTCTCAGTTTGATGGATCTGATGTGGTCTTAAAAGAGTTTAACCCTGTACTGTGCTGTTCTAATGCTGAATATGTGTTTGTATGTGCAAAGAGTAAAGGCTCTTCCCTTTATTCCCTTTATTCCTTCCTCCCTCCTTCCTTCCTCCCTTCCTTCTTTCCTCCTTCCCTCCCTTCTTCCTTTCCTTCCTCCCTCCCTCCCTCCTTCCTTTCTCTTTCTCTCCTTCCTCTATCCTTCCTTCTTTTCTCTTTCTTTTTTTCTTTCTTTCTTTCTTTCTTTCTTTCTTTCTTTCTTTCTTTCTTTCTTTCCTTCCTCCCCCTCCCTCCCTCCTTCCTCTCCCTCCCTCCTTCCTTTCCTTCCTCCCTCCTCCCTCCCTCCCTTCCTTCCTTTTTCCCTCCCTCCCTCCTTCCTTCCTTTCCTTCCTCCCTCCCTCCCTTTCTCTTTCCCTCCTTCCTCTATCCTTCCTTCTTTTCTCTTTCTTTCCTTCCTCCCTCTCCCTCCCTCCTCTCCCTCCCTCCCTCTCTCCCTCCTTCCTTCCTTTCCTCCCTCCCTCCTTCCCCTCCCTCCCTCTCTCCCTCCTTCCTTCCTCCCTCCCTCCCTCCCTCCTTCCTTCCTTCCTTCCTTTCCTCCCTCCCTCCTTTCTTTCTCTTTCCCTCCTTCCTCTATCCTTCCTTCCTTCTTTTCTCTTTCCTTCCTTCCTTCCTTCCTCCCCCTCTCCTTCCCTCCCTCCTTCCTCTCCCTTCCTCCCTCCCTCCTTCCTCCCTCCGCCTCTCCCTCCTTCCTTCCTGTCTTCCTTCCTTTCTCCCTCCCTTCCTCCCTTCCTTCCCTCCCTCCCTCCCTCCTTCCTCCCTCTCTCCCTCCCTCCCTCCTTCCTTCCTTCCTTCCTTCCTCCTTCCCTCCCATCCACCCATCATCTCTCTTTCTGCATCCTGTTTCCACTTACCCTTGCCAAACGCCATATGTTATTTTGTAGACATCTATTATCATGGAACGATACGCCTTTGGGTGCTCTGTCTGCCAGTGACTTTTTCCCATTTCCAGGACCTCCTGGACTTGAAAGATGCTGGCGTTTCGTTGAATGTGGTCGATCCAACCCCGATCCAACCGGGCCAGCAGACCATGTTCTGGCAAGTCATGCAGGAGGAGGATGGGGATGCAGATTCTTTGGGTAAGGGTCCTGGAATTGGAAGGGTCCCTAGAGGACCTAAAGCCCAACCCTCTTCTCAGTGCAGGAACCACTGGAGCAGTGAAGGCGAACCTTTTAGAGACCGAGTGCCCAAACTGCAACCCAAAACCCCACTGATGCATCGTCGGATGCCGGGTGGGCGTGGCCCATTGGGTGGGCGTGGCTGCGGTGGTAACAGCAGACTGGGTGGGACTAAAAAGTTCAGTCAATCAATTCCAACTTTGAAAGATCTTTTTTTTCCCCGCAAGAACTTGAAATTGATTGATTGAACCTTTTTTTTTTTTTTGCACACGGCGGCAGAGGCCTACAGCGAAAAGATTTTATAAAACTCAGCTGAAGGTCAAGGACTGGGGCGACGGTGCGCGTGCCCAGAGAGAGGGCTCTGAGTGCTGCCTCTGGCACCTGTGCACTGGAGCATCTCTGACATTTGGCCATCCAGCTTTGGTTTGAGGCCCGCTGGCTTATCAACTAGGAAAGCTGAGTATTCAAATGGAAGTATTAAGGTTATTGCGGTTGATCACACAGTCAGACAGACCGTTTAAACCAGTGGTTCTCAACCTTTCTAATGCCGCGACCCCATAATACAGTTCCTCATGTTGTGGTGACCCCCCAACCACTTATACATCACCGGGTGCCAGGGGCGTGGCCAAAGAAAAGGGGGAAAAAATGACGGACAGCCTTGTTTGGCGACCCCCGTGAAATGGTCGTTCGACCCCAAATGGGGTCCCGACCCACAGGTTGAGAACCATTGGTTTAAACTGATTTGGCATTTTCTGTCCACTTACTGGATCCTTCCCAAGGACCTGGGATAGGCAGACGTTGTGGTTTGGAGGCGTTAAAGTTGTCATCGCAAGAAGAGGGAGTCCAAAGGCGCTGAACAGGTCACAAAGTAAAAACACAAAAGAACAATAAAATAATGTAACAGCTAAGACAGAGGAACGTAAGGTGACAAAAACGGGCAATAATTAAAAATACGCACACGCTGCTTAGAGCCAGGGGTCTTCCAACTTGGCAACTTTAAGACTTGTGGACTTCAACTCCCAGAATTCTTCAGCCAGCCAGTTTGAAGAGCTCTGGCTTAGACTAGAGGCTTCGAACCACCCTCAGCAAAAGCCTAGACAAAGAGCCAAGTCTTCAAGAGTCGACAGCAGTAGGATATGAGCCGCCTTTGAGGGGAGAGTCAGTCTAGACCACAGGTCGGCAACCTGCGGCTCCGGAGCCGCATGCAGCTCTTTGAGCCTTCCCCTGTGGCTCCCAGCCTCCTCTGCCTTTGCAGAGAGAGACAGAGACAGAGAGAGGCAATTGCGCTTCCCTGCTTTCTCTCTCTCTCTCTCTCTCTCTCTCTCTCTCTCTCTCTCTCTCTCTCTCTCTCTCTCTCTGTGTGTGTGTGTAAAAGAGTGCACTCACAGTGTTCTCCGAGGAGCTGAAAAGCTTACTGGGTGGAGCTCCTCCCTTTGCTGCGTCTCTGCAGGAAGCAGGAAGGGCAGGAGAGAGCTAGCTAGCCCAGCTAGGCTGACTCAGGAATTCTGGGAGTTGGTCCATGAGTCATAAAGGAGCCGAAGTTGCCTATCCCTGACCTTGTTGGAGAACAGCTTGAAGCTTGCCAGGTGAGCAGCAGATAGGAGGGGGGGGGAGAAAGAGAGAGAGAGGAAAAAGAGAGAGAAAGAAAGAGAGTGGGGGAAGAGGAGTGGCAGACCAAGGGCAGATAGAGAGGGAGGGAGGGAGAGAGAGAGAGAGACCCTTTTGACATCTAAAATGAAGATAACACTGCATATATCCTTTTTTTACCTGTGTGTGTATGTAATTTTATTCTCCTAAAACATTCTCTTGGTGATCATTGTTTTAATAGAATGGATATTCCCAAGAGTCATATTTTTACTTTTATTTTTAGTGTGTGTGTGTGTGTGTGTGTGTGTGTGTGTGTGTGTGTATGTATGTATACACACACACACACACACACACATCCCTATAATAAAGGTAAAAAAGGATATATGTAGTGTTAATCTTCATTTTAGATATCAAAAGGGTTTTGCGGCTCCCGGTGTTTTCTTTTTGGTGGGAAACGGGTCCAAGTGGCTCTTTGAGTGTTTTGGGTTGCCTACCCCTGGGCTAGACCAAGGGTGGGCAACCTTGGCTCTTTTATGACTCATGGACTCAACTCCCAGAATTCCCGAGCCAACATGGCTCAGCTTGGAAACCTCTCCCTTTCCCCTCAGCATGGCTGGCTCAGGAATTCTGGGAGTTGGAGTCCACGAGTCATAAAAGAGTCAAGGTTGCCTACCCCTGGTCTAGACTAGAGGGCAGATGCTGTGGCAGAGAAGATGCCCTTCCAGGGTCCCAATAGGCAGCAGGGTTTAATCCAGGGGTCTCCAAATATGGCATTGGACAGATAGAATTCCTCAGCCAGCCATGCTGAGGAATGCTGGCTGAGGAATTCTGGGAGTTGAAGTCCACATGTCTTAAAAGTTGCCATGTTTAGAGACCCTTGGATTAGTTGAAGGAACCTGGAGTCTGCCAATTCTGGTTGGATTAGCCGGATAGATACCATAGGAGACAGATGTCACTCTCCTCTCCCCCAAACAACCAGGATCTATGCCGTATACGAGGCCTTTGTTTCACCTGGAAGCCTTGGGATATATTGCTCTGTTGTTTCCAGACCTCCCCTGCTAGCTACGAATTCTGGGATTTGAAGTGAATGCATCTGGTAAGCCCCAGGTTATAACAAAAGACTAGCTAATAATAAGACCATTTGGTCTGGAGCAGGGGTAGGCAACCTTGGCCCTTTTATGACTCGTGGACTTCAACTCCCAGAATTCCTGAGCCAGCCAAGCTGAGGGGAAAGGGAGAGGTTTCCAAGCTGAGCCAGGCTGGCTGAGGAATTCTGGAAGTTGAAGTCCACAAGTCATAAAAGGGGCAAGTTTGAAGACCCCTGACTTACAGCCATTCACTTAGTAACTGTTCAAAGTTATGAAGATTACTAAACACCTGGTTCCAATAGTGGCCCCTTCCTGCAGTCACATAATGCATTTTGGGCATTTGGCAACCGGCCCATATTTGTGGCTGTTTGTAGTGTCCCACAGTAATAATAATAATGATAATAATAAAAAATTGGAAGGGACATTGGAGGTCATCTAATCCAACCCCCTGCTCAGGCAGGAAACCCTATACCATTTCAGACAAATGGCTGTCCAGTCTCTTCTTAAAAATTTCCAGTGTTGGAGCATTCACCACTTCTGAAGGCCGGTTAATTGTTCTAACTGTCAGGAAGTTTCTCCTTAGTTCTAGGTTGTTTCTCTCCTTAGTTAGTTTCCATTCGTTGCTTCTTATCCTGCCTTCAGGTGCTTTGGAGAATAGCTTGACTCCCTCTTCTTTGTGGCAGCCCCTGAGATATTGGAACACTGCTATCATGTTCCCCCTCATCCTTCTCTTCATTAAACTAGACATACCCAATTCCAGCAACCGTTCCTTATGTTTTAGCTTCCAATCCCCTAATCATCTTTGTTGCTCTTCTCTGTACTCTTTCTAGAATCTCAACATCTTTTTTACTTCGTGGTGACCAAAACTGGATGCAGCATTCCAAGTGTGGCCTTACCAAGGCCTTGTAAAGTGGTACTAACACTTCACGTGATCTTGATTCTATCCCTCTGTTAATGCATCCTAGCCCTGTGTTGGCTTTTTTGGCAATTGTAACACATTGCTGGCTCACGTGTCCATTTTTGCCAGTGTTTACTGGTGTTCACTCCAAGTTTCTGACAAAAACTGGCCCATAGAACATGGATTTGCCCAACGGCTGCCACATTCGCTTTACAGCCATTGCATTCGCTTAATGACGATTGCAAGAAAAAGTCTACAATTGGGTCGGTCGCCCGATGGCCAGCATTCCGACTGTTTCGACTTAGGACCCCAATTGCCAGGTTCATTTAAGGTCATAACTCAAGGACTACGTCTAGCTACCGGCTAGCTTAGCTGCTCCATCGAAGTGAGGCAGACCAAATGGAAATGAATGACCAGAATTCACCAGAATTTGTCCTCCAAGTAATTCTGTGTCTCCTTCTGTCTTGAATCCTAAGAGGGACTCTTGGTGCCCAAACCGGATCTTGCATCCAATCCAGAAGAAGAGGAGGAGCCGGTTTTCGTCCAATTTCCTGTTGAAAGTGAGAGAATTCCAGATCACGAATCAGGTAAGAGGAAGACCGGATAAGTTATTCTTGCAAGACCAGAATAATTTTAGACCTCCCTTGAGCGAGGTGGGGGGGATGGGTTCGGAGAGCATCTTAATTCTTCTCAACCCGTTTTGTTTTTTTCTATATGCTTATTTAAAGCATTTTAGGGCATCGTTCAGCAAAAAAGGATCCCAGGGCAATAGACCTACAGTCAGTGGTGGGATTCAAATTCACAACCAGTTCTCTGTGTGGATGCCACTTCCGGAAGTCCGTTCTGGGCCCGGGCAACAAAAAAATCAGCTACCGCTTCTGCCAAAGTGGTGCAAACTGGCTGAATCCCACCCCTTTTTACAGTCAGTAAAAAGCTACAGGTAGTCCTTGACTTATGACCACAATTGAGTCCAAAATTTCCGTTCGCTAAGCAAACCTATTTGTCAGTTGAGCCAGCTATGTATCTGCCTGGCCACAGCTGTTCAGCAGTTAGTAACCCGGTTGTAAAGTGAACGTGGCTTTCCCATTGATTTTGTTTGTCAGAGGGTGGCCAAAGGGGATCCCGTGATCCCAGGACACCACAGCCGTTGTAAATATGAGTCAGTTGCCCACTAGGTGGCATTTTGATCACACGGCCCTGGGGATGCTGCAGAGGCCGTAAGGGTAAAACACGGTCCTAAGTCACATCTTTTCCTGTGCTGTTGTAACTTCAAACGGTCACTAAATGAACTGTTGTAAGTTGAGGACTATCTGTATTGTTATTTTTTTTAAGGTTTGTTTTTTTTTATGGTGCGAAAAGGTCCCCCTCGGGAAGAAACTAGGAAGAAATTTGCGATTGTCTTTAAATTCCACGCAGCTTCGGAAAACGCCTCAGGACGTCTGTTCTTGGGGCTGCCTCGTTTGAAAACAAAAGCACACACACACACACACACACACACACACACACACACACACACACAACATCTAGCTCTCGGCCACTAAGGAAGTAAGGTTGTGAATTATGGATCTGTTTTGGTGAAATTGTACAGCGTGACTCGGCCTGTATTAGCGCAAATGTCCGTTTTGCAGTAATCTTGGCTCTTGACAAGAGCAAACGTTTCGGTCAAAAAATCTCTTTAAAGTTGCACAAAATCTACGCAGAAATAACGTTACTTAATACACACACGCGCCGTGCATTTCACCTGTACGTGTGTCTACCATTTGCTTAGCGTACAGCAAGGCTCTTCAAACTTGGCCCTTTTATGACTTGTGGACTTCAACTCCCAGAATTCTGGGAGTTGAAGTCCACGAGTCATAAAAGAGCCAAGGTGGCCTACCTCTGGTCTAAGGGCTATTCTAAGTGTTATTTATATAGCCTAGGGCAGGTGTAGGCCATCTTGGCTCTTTTATGACTTGTGGACTTCAACTCCCAGAATTCCTGAGCCAGTACTGAGCCTGAGACTGTTATTGACTACAATGACAGTCCATTAAAAATTTCCGTTGCCAAACCTTTTGTCAGAGCTATGTTCTGCCTGGCCACAGCTGTGGAAGTTAGTACAGGTAGTAAGCGAACTGGCTTCCCCCTTGTCAGAAGGCCGCAAAAGGGGATCTCGTCACCCAGGACACCACAGCCGCGTAAATACGAACCAGTTGCCAAGCAGGTGGCTTTTGATCACGTGACCCTGGGGATGCTGCAAGGCCGTAAGGAAAAAACAGGTCCTAAGTCACATTTTTCCTGTGCTGTTGTAACTTCAAACGGTCACTAAATGAACTGTTGTAAGTCAAGGACTATGGCTGTATTGTTATTCTGTTTTTAAGGTTTGTTTTTTCCTTTATGGTGCGAGAGATCCAACGGTCCCCCTCGGGAAATAGAAATTTGCTAGGTGCGAAGAAATTTGCGAATTCATAATGAACAATTGAGTCACTTAATGAATTTGCATTCCACGGTCAGGACGTCACGACTCTTGGAAACCTTTCATCAAGCCTGCTCAGGCAGGTTACGGACAAATGGCTATCCAGTCTCTTCTTAAAAACTTCCAGTGTTGGAACATTCACCGCTTCTGGAGGCAAGTTGTTCCACTGATTAATTGTTCTAGCTGTCAGGAAGTTTCGTTCTAGGTATCAGGTGTCCTTGACTCCCTCGCAGCCCCTGAGATGTTGGAAGACTGCTACCATGGGTGACATATCCAATTCCATCAGCCTTTCCTTATATGTGTAACAGGTAGGCTTCCTTACAGCCATAAGTCAAGGACTACCTGTAATTGCACGTAGATAGGGCGGAAGTAGTGGACAATCACTTAAAATGTTCGGCAGCAGCCAGATCATACAATCCTGGCTAGAATCGAAACCCCCGCTTTATAAATTCTTAGTAAGGCCTCACCTGTAAGGATCCAGTTTTGGTCACCACATTACTGTTGAGCTTTGGAAAGTGCTAACGATTAAGGCCTGGACACTAGTCTACTACACGACAGCAGCATTCCCATATTTGCTGCCACAAAGAAGAAGGGGGTCACTCCAAAGCGCCTGAAGGAGGACCAACCTAGTCTGGAATTCTTCCGGACACCCCTGTCCGAATGCTCCAAGCATGGCGAAATCCAAGCTTTTATTGAGATCTGGGGAGACACATCTGTACAGCGTGCCCTCTTCTCAAACTACCGGACCGTCTCTCAGTTCCAATGGATCTCGAGCCAGATGAAGGCCCGGGGCTACGACCGGAATTGGCTCAACCGGGTCGTGAACCAGTTCCTGCGCGTCGAGCAAGATCTGGTCGCAGATCCGGCATCAGGCTGTTCGCGGAGGTAGAAGGCTTCAGGCGAAGAAGCAGGCGAAGCCTCAGCTTCGCTTGTCCATCGCCCGGCTCAGGTTTGTGCTCCTTCCATGCTTTCTCCATCCTTCCTTTCTTTTTTTTCCTTCACTCATTGGCTCTCCTGTGTATGCAAGGCCATCTTTTTAGTTGCACAAAATCTACGCAGAAATAACGTTACTTAATACACACACGCGCCGTGCATTTCACCTGTACGTGTGTCTACCATTTGCTTAGCGTACAGCAAGGCTCTTCAAACTTGGCCCTTTTATGACTTGTGGACTTCAACTCCCAGAATTCTGGGAGTTGAAGTCCACGAGTCATAAAAGAGCCAAGGTGGCCTACCTCTGGTCTAAGGGCTATTCTAAGTGTTATTTATATAGCCTAGGGCAGGTGTAGGCCATCTTGGCTCTTTTATGACTCGTGGACTCCAACTCCCAGAATTCCTGAGCCAGCCGTACTGAGGGGAAAGGGAGAGGTTTCCAAGCTGAGCCAGGCTGGCTCAGGAATTCTGGGAGTTGAAGTCCACCAGTCATAAAAGAGCCAAGATGGCCTAGTTTGAAGGCGCCTGGTGTACGGCTATTTGTGCCATCTTCAACAACGACCCCCGTCGAGCCTAACGTTTTCATTGCTAAACGAGACAGTCATTAAGTGAGTTTCTTGCCCCGTTTTACAGCCTTCCTCGCCAGGGCTGTTGGGTGAATCAGCACAGTTGTGGAAGTTAGTGACAGGATAGTTCAGCGAATCTGGCTTCCCCCTTGTCAGAAGGCCGCAAAAGGGGGATCTCGTCACACACACACACACACACAAGCGCGCGACCACCCTAAATACGAACCAGTTGCCAAGCATCTGCTTGTAAATCACGTGACCCTGGGGATGCTGCAACGGTCGTGTGAAAAAACAGTCCTAAGTCGCATTTTTCAGTACCGTCGTTAACTTTGAACGGTCACTAAATGCACTGTTGTAAGTCAAGGACTGTCTCTGGTTGTAAATGGCGACTTGCCAGAACTGAAGATTTTTGAAAGGGACACGTGTCAAAAATGCCTCTGTTCTACTTGATTTTAGTTAGATTTATATCCCACTTTTTGTTCAGGGGTGTACAAGTAGTCCTCAGCTTAAAGACCGCTCACTCAAAGTTACGGCAGACCTCCCCGGGATTATTTATGTCCTGGTTCCAGAGATCCAACGGTCACTTCCTGTCACATGACCATACTTCAGGCATTCGGCAAATAGGCTGTGTATACGGCCATTTGCAGCATTCTGCAGTCGTGCGACCGTGTTTTACAACATTTTTGCCCCAAATTGGCATTGGATTGCTTTTTTTTTTTTAACCAGAATGCCTCATAATGAACAATTGAGTCACTTAATGACTGCATTTGCAGAAAAAGCTGTAAAATCAGGTCGGTCACATTGGTCATCCATTTTATGGACGTCACGACTTATAATAATAATTAACTTGGAAGGGACCTTGGAGGTCATCAAGTCCAACCCCCTGCTCAGGCAGGTTACCCTACACCATTTCGGACAAATGGCTATCCAGTCTCTTCTTAAAAACTTCCAGTGTTGGAACATTCACCGCTTCTGGAGGCAAGTTGTTCCACTGATTAATTGTTCTAGCTGTCAGGAAGTTTCTCCTTAGTTCTAGGTTGCTTCTCTCCTTGGTTGGTTTCCATCCGTTGCTTCTTGTCCTGCCCTCAGGTGTCTTGGAAAATAGCTTGACTCCCTCTTCTTTGTGGCAGCCCCTGAGATGTTGGAAGACTGCTACCATGTCCCCCCTGGTCCTTCTCTTCATTAAACTAGACATATCCAATTCCATCAGCCTTTCCTTATATGTGTAACAGGTAGGCTTCCTTACAGCCATAAGTCAAGGACTACCTGTAATTGCACGAGGTAGATAGGGCGGAAGTAGTGGACAATCACTTAAAATGTGAGCCCGCCGTGTGCGGCAGCAGCCAGAAAAGCTCATACAATCCTGGGTTGTGTAAACAGAGGCATAGAATCGAAACTGTGTGAAGCATTAGTCCCGCTTTATAAATTCTTAGTAAGGCCTCACCTGTAATATAGGATCCAGTTTTGGTCACCACATTACAAAAAAAAAAAATGTTGAGACTTTGGGGGGAAAGTGCAAAGAAGAGTAACTAAGATTAAGGCCTGGAGAGTAAAATATGTGAAGAATAGTTGCAGGATTTGAGTTTGGCTAGTCTAGAGAGAAGAAAGACTAGGGGGGACACGACAGCAGCATTCCCATATTTGAGAGGCTGCCACAAAGAAGAAGGGGGTCAAATTATTCTCCAAAGCGCCTGAAGGAGGACAAGAAACAACGGATGGAAACTAGTCAAGAAGAGAAGCAACCTGGAATTAAGGAGAAACTTCCTAACAGGACAATTAACGAGTGGAACGACCTGCCTCCAGAAGTGGTGAATGCTCCAACACTGGAAGTTTTAAAGAAGAGACTGGACAGCCATTTGTCTGAAATGGTATAGGGTCTCCTGCTTGAGCATTCACCGCTTCTGGAGGCAGGTTGTTCCACTGGTTAATTGTTCTGTCAGGAAGTTTCTCCTTAGTTCTAGGTTGTTTCTCTCCTTGGTTAGTTTCCATCCGTTGCTTCTTGTCCTGCCTTCAGGCGCTTTGGAGAATAGCTTGACTCCCTCTTCTTTGGGGCAGCCCCTGAGATATTGGAACACTCCTATCATATCCCCCCTCGTCCTTCTCTTCATTAGACTAGACATACCCAATTCTAGCAGCCGCTCCTTATATGTTTTAGCCTCCAGTCCCCTGACGATCTTTGTCACTCTTCTCTGTACTCTTTCTAGAGTCTGAACACTGGAAGTTTTTAAGAAGAAACTGGACAGCCATTTGTCCAAAATGCTATAGGGTTTCCTGCCTGAGCAGGGGGTTGGACTAGATGACCTCCAAGGACCCTTCCAATTTTACTATTATTATTATTATAACTTCTGTAGCTCAATGGAGACTAGATGTGGGGTCTCTCTGCCCCTAACCCTGCCCCCAAACTGCTCCTCTGGCTCAGTGTGGAATACAATATCAATTTCTGCACCTCTTATTCAGCACATTCTTCGCTATTCAGTCCAGGGCTGCTTTTCGACCTTAACAATTTGAAGGTGTGTGGGTTTAGCTAAATAGCATAGCTAAATAGCTGCCTGGGGAATTCTGGGAGTTGAACTCTCCCCATCTTAAAGTTGGCACGGTTGAGAAACCCTGCTATGCACTTCCTAACCGAGTAGGCTAAGAGCAATGGAACGCCGACCGCTTTTATTCTAGAACAGACGTGTTGCTTACCTTTGGCCCAATCCTTCATTCAGAGCTAGTTAATGCGAGCTTTCCCTGACCGGTTCCAAAACTTCATCTTGGGCTGACGGAATAAACCCAGGTCTGAAATGTCTGAGGGACAACACCTTGCGTCTTTCCCAATTTTGTTTAACACAATTAATAACAACAACAACAACAACAATAATAGAGTTGGAAGGGACCTTGGAGGTCATCTAGTCCAACCCCCTGCTCAGGCAGGAAACCCTATACCAGGGGTAGGCTGCCTTGACTCTTTTATGATTCGTGGACTTCAACTCCCAGAATTCCTGAGCCAGCCATGCTGAGGGGAAAGGGAGAGGTTTCCAAGCTGAGCCATGCTGGCTCAGAAATTCTGGGAGTTGAAGTCCACGAGTCATAAAAGAGCCAAGGTTGCCTACCTAGGCCTAGGCTGCTTTCTGACACGTGGACTTCAACTCCCAGAATTCCTGAGCCAACTTGGCTCAGCTTGGAAACCTCTCTTTCCCCTCAGCATGGCTGGCTCAGGAATTCTGGGAGTTGAAGTCCAAGAGTCATAAAAGAACCAAGGTGGCCAACCCCTGACCTAGATCCATTTCAGACAAATGGCTGTCCAATTTCTTCATTCATTTCAATATCTTCCAAATGACTAAACTGTACAGACAGTTCTTGACTTTTCACTGTGATGGAGCCCGTCCATTATCATCATGAGTCATGATGCTTGTAAAGGAGGTCATCGGCCTGATTTTATGACCTGATTTTATGACTCTGGTTGTTAAATGAACACCATACTTACTAACGCTACAGTCATCAAATCCATCCTTTGCTGTGGGACTTTTTTTTTTTTTTTGCCAAAAACCAGATATAAACCCCGGGTTCTGTCAAAAATGTCATAAATTGAGGTCCTGTGATCATGGGAGGACTGCAAATGGCCGTAGACACAAAATGGCTACCCGGCATCAAAACGGGGCACCCTGCCGTTGGAACGGCAGAATTGGGTTGTAAGTACCTTTTGTGGGTCCGTCGTAACTTCAAACGGTTGCTAAGCCGCTGGTCATAAAGCTGAGGACTAGCTGTATAGGTTTATCATCCTGTTTAGGCTATGCACTTCCTATAAAGGAAATTTGGAAGAGAATATTTGTAGCCCAGGGTTGAACTCCGAGGGTCTCTGTGGCTCTCTGAACTTGGTGGTTTTCTTGTAGACGTTTCATTACCCAACTTGGGAACATCCTCGCTGCTAACAACATCATCCAGCACTGATAATGTTACCTAGTTGGGTAATGAAATGTCCGAAGAAAACCACCAAACTCAAGAGACTGTATTGTTTGCCATGCCGCTTATCCGAGGGCAGGGGTAGGCAACCTTGGCTCTTTTATGACTCGTGGACTTCAACTCCCAGAATTCCTGCGCCACCATGGCTCAGCTTGGAAACCTGTCCCTTTCCCCTCAGCATGGCTGGCTCAGGAATTCTGGGAGTTGAAGTCCACGAGTCATAAAAGAGCCAAGACTGCCTACCCCTGTCCTAGGGCCTTCCACTTCTTTCGGACTCTTTCCGCGATATCCTTTTTAAAAACCCAGCCAAAGGAAGCAGCTGCATTCATGCAGCCACACCTAGTTGCGTGTTTTTTGTTTTTTTTCCTTGATAAAGCCAGGAAAGGGCTGATGCTTTCACGTGCAGGTACGAGTCTCTGCCCGAGCTCCACGCTCGGCCCTTTTAAGACGCTTGTGTTTTCTCCCTTCCTCCCTCAGGAAGCCAAAAGCCGCCGCTGACCATCCCTGAACGGATGAGAAACCTTCGCAAGGCTCCGCAGGAAAGGAGAGCAGACGTCGGTCCCTCCCGAGGTGGAATTGGGGACTCTGCGGCAAGAAGCCCTCTCCAGGACCCGGCCTTGCCAGGGTCCCGCAAGGCCAAGCCGGCCCCCTCGAGTGAAATCGAGAAGGCGTGGGAAGAGTGCGAAAGGAAGGCGGTGGAGAAGCTGGAAGGCTACTTACGAGAGAAAGGCTGGAAACTTCAGACGGCGCATTCAAGCCAGACTGGGATCCTCCAGGATGTCTTGTCCATCGTGTGTAAAGGCCGCACGGCTGCGTCTCTGCCCGTTCTTACGTCTCCTGTCCAAGGGCCCCCCCTTTCTTCCCAGACGCCTCCTTCTGAAGTATCGACAGAGTCTCGAATCTCATCGGAGGCGGGCAAGGACTCAGCAACTTCTTCGCCGCCTCCTTCTCTTCCTCCTCTTTCTCTCTCTTCTCAGGGGGGTTTGTCGGACCGAAGCATTCGCCTGAAAAGGAAGCGTTCCCTCCCGGCCCGCTTTCAGTGCTGACCATGCTTTATTTCCCTTTCGGATCGCGCGTTAGCCGGTTAGTCGGATCTCACACACACACACACACACACACCGTCCTTTGGGTTTTGGGCTTGTGTCTTTGGCGCTTCCCTCTTTTCTTTACACTGGTGGAATCGAAGGAAGGGTGGTGTTTGATGCTGGCTTCCCCAGGAGGAAATAAAACCGTGATAAACGAAACTTTATTTCTTGTTTGGGGCACAATGAGGTGTTTGGGGGGGGGGGTGTGTCGGTAATTTCCTGACAGGACAGGACAACCTTCCCAGATTCTAGGCAGAGTGTCGGGATCAGCTCTGAGGTTCTGTTAATTTTTTTTATTATTTTTTTAAGTTTACTGAATTTATACGCCATCAAACTCCCAGTGAGTTTGGGTGGTATAATTTGCCTTTTTTTTTTTAACGGTCAGCATAAGGAGCATAACTGGTTTAACTGCAGTTACAAGTAGACCAGGGGTCTTCAAACTTGGCAACTTTTGTGGACTTCAACTCCCAGAATTCCTCAGCCAGCCCTGAGGGCTGACTGTGAAATTCTGGGAGTTGAAGTCCACAGGTCTTAAAAGTTGCCAAGTTTGAAGACCCCTGCAGTAGACAAATAACATTCTGTAAATCTGCTTTCCTGATACCAGGTAAATCAGGTTAATATCAGAGACTCTTGAAAACTGGCGACTCCTGATCGTCTTCAACTTACAGCCACTCGTTTAGCGACCGCTCAAAGTGACAACGGCACCGAAATGGTGACTTGCAAACGGTCCCCCTCCTACAATCTTTGCAGCATCTCCATCCCCCTCCTACAATCTTTGCAGCATCTCCACGTGATCAAACTTGGCAACTAGTGTGTATTTTGTGATGGTGGCTGCATCCTGATGGCCAAGTATGACTTTCCCAGAGGGCTTCCGATGAGCAAAGCTGAGGCGGGAAACCAGATTCATTTAACGACTTCACGATTCTCCGAACAGCCGTGGCAAAAACATTACAAATCGGCCACAACTCCCTTAACTGTCTTGTTTAGCTGTGAATATTCTGGCCCCAATTGTGATCCTAAGGTGAGGGCTTACCTGGAGCTGGGTGGTTCTCAGTCCTGAATGTTTTTCCTCCATTTTCCCCCGAAATGAATTACTAGCTTCCCTATACCAGGGTAGGCAGCCTTGGCTCTTTTATGACTCGTGGACTTCAACTCCCAGAATTCCTGAGCCAGCACGGCTCAGCATGGAAACCTCTCCCTTTCCCCTCAGCACGGCTGGCTCAGGAATTCTGGGAGTTGGTCCACGAGTCATAAAAGAGCCAAGGTGGCCTACACCTGCGCTATACGCCAGGAGTCAGCCATTTTTTTAGCCTGTAAAGCAGTGGTTCTCAATCTTTCTAATACCGCGACTCCATAATACAGTTCCCCATGTTGTGGTGACCCCCAACCACTTATACATCATCGGGTGCCAGGGGCATGGCCAAAGAAAAGGGGAAAAAAATGGCGGACAGCCTTGTTTGGCGACCCCTGTGAAATGGTTGTTCGACCCCAAATGGGGTCCCGACCCACAGGTTGAGAACCACTGCTGTAAAGGACCAGATCCTGTCCCTCCTCTGCATTCATGGGCACATCTGGCAGACCCACCAGCCAAGGGCCACGGCAGCTGTTGGATGGTGCCACTTCACCAGCAATAATAGCAGGCCCCATCCCTCACCTGGGACCTCAGGCCTGACTCTGCCACCTGCCTGCCCAGAAGCTTATCTCACAGGGCACGCACAAACAGGCAGGGTGGATTTGGCCCATGGGCCAAGCTTTTCCGAACCCCGCTATAGTCAACGGAGGCACCTTCCACCTTTGTGAACCGATGGGATTTCTGAACACAGGTAGTCCTCAGCTTTGACATAGAATAGAGCTGGAAGGGACCTTGGAGGTCTTCTAGTCCAGCCCCCTGCTCGAGCAGGAGAACCTATACCAGGTGTAGGCAACCTTGGCTCTTTTATGACTTTTATTCCTGAGCCAGTGTGCCTCAGCTTGGAAACCTCTCCCTTTCCCCTCAGCATGCCTGGCTCAGGAATTCTGGGAGTTGAAGTCCATGAGTCATAAAAGGGCCAAGTTTGAAGACCCCTATTGTAGGTCATCTAGCCCAGGGGTAGGCAACCTTGGCTCTTTTATGACTCGTGGACTTCAACTCCCAGAATTCCTAAGCCAGCCATGCTGAGGGGAAAGGGAGAGGTGTCCAAGCTGAGGCACGCTGGCTCAGGAATAAAAGTCATAAAAGAGCCAAGGTTGCCTACCCCTGGCCTATACCATTTCAGACAGGTGGCTTACAACAGTTCCATTTAGTGATGGTGCAAAGTCACAGTGCTAAAAAATGTGTCTTGTGACCATTTTTCCCAGTTAGGACCGTTGCAGCATCCCCATGGTCATGTGATCAAAATTCGGATGCTTGGCAACTGACTTGTACTTACGACGGTTGCAGTGTCCCGGGGTCACGTGATCCCCTTTTGCGACCTTCTGACAAGTAAGAGTCAAAGGGGAAGTCAGATTCACTTACCAACCCTGTTATCAACCTAATAAGTGATTCACTTAACCACCGGGGCAAGGAAGCTCGTAAAATGGGGCCAAATTCACTTAACAACTGTCTCTCTTAGCAACGTGAATTCTGGTCTCCAGTTTCTTAAATCGAGAAGGACCTGTACTTAATGACAGCGGCAGCATCCTGAGGCCACCTTTGTCACCTTCACAGGGAACTTCCACCTCGCTTAGCAACAGAAAGTTTGGGCTCCGTTGTCACAAATTGCGGCCTACCTATACTAGCTAAGGGTACTTGCTGTTTGCCTAGCTATCATCAGATTGTTGTTGTTGTTGTTTTCAAAATGACCTCTGCGGATCCCTAGGGATCCCCCAGGACCTGAATGGGACCAAAGGCAAAAAAAAAAAAAGACCTCTGTAAATAAATTCTTGGTCCCTTGTGAAGAGTTTTCCCCTTTTCGTCACTGACATAGCAGGGAAAGGCAGGCCTTGTCAGCCATTTCAGAAGACCCATTCCCCTTTAATCAGAGGTTTTCTTTTGCTAAACATTTATGGAGGTTTTCAGTCATCCGGGTCGTGGCTGTCCCAAAGATGCTTTTTCAGGAGGCAACTGGACTTTCTTGTTGTTTTTTTTGAAGACATTTCGCTTCTCATCCAACAAGCTTCTTCAGCTCTGACTGGGTTCTCTTCCGTTGCTTAATAAGGAGAAGCTTCCATGAGCTGAAAAGATTTGAATAATTTGCTCTGATTGTATCTCTGGAAGGCATATTGTTCCTCTGAAGTTACTGATCAATGATGCACAGGTATAGTATAGGGGGTACCTTGCTCAATAGTAGTGACTGTGAGAGGGATCTCGGAGTCCTAGTGGACAATCACTTAAATATGAGACAGCAGTGTGCTGCAGCTGCCAAAAAAGCCAACATAGTGGTAGGCTGCATTAACAGGGATAGAATCAAGATCATGTGAAGTATTAATATCACTTTACAATGCCTTGGTAAGGCCACACTTGGAATACTGCATCCAGGTTTGGTCACCACGGTGTAAATAATTATAATAATAATAATAATGATAAAGTTGGAAGGGACCTTGGAGGTCATCTAGTCCAATCCCCTGCTCAGGCAGGAAACCCTATAGCATTATGGACAAATGGCTGTCCAGTTTCTTCTTAAAAACTTCCAGTGTTGAGACTCTAGAAAGAGTACAGAGAAGAGTGACAAAGATCATCAGGGGAATGGAGGCTAAAACATATAAGGAGCGGCTGCTAGAATTGGGTATGTCTAGTCTAATGAAGAGAAGGACGAGGGGGGACTTGATAGCAGTGTTCCAATATCTCAGGGGTTGCCCCAAAGAAGAGGGAGTCAAGCTATTCTCCAAAGCGCCTAAAGGCAGGACAAGAAGCAACGGGTGGAAACTAATCAAGGAGAGAAGCAACCTAGAACTAAGGAGAAACTTCCTGACAGTTAGAACAATTAACCAGTGGAACAACCTGCCTCCAGAAGCTGTGAATGCTCCAACACTGGAAGTTTTTAAGAAGAGACTGGACAGCCATTTGTCTGAAATGGTATAGGGTTTCCTGTCTGAGCAGGGAGTTGGACTAGATGACCTCCAAGGTCCCTTCCAACTTTATTATTATTATCTGAGAATCTTTCTGGATTCACTGGCTCAGATACAATTCCACTGGGGGGGGGAGGAGGAGGAGGCCAGCGCCTCCATGCTCATCCTTATTACTACTAGAGTAGACCAATGTTCCTGAAACTTGGCAAATTTAAGATGTGTGGACTTCAACTCCCAGAATTCCCCAGCCTGGACTAGACTATTGCAATACAGGTAGTTTTTGACTTAATGACCATGATTAAGCCCCATATTTTTGTTGCTAAGTGAAACAGTTCTTAAGTGCCCCATTTTATGACCTTTTGGGCCACAGTTGTTAGTGAACCACTACTGTTGTCAGTAACTTGATTGTTAAGTACTAATAAAGGAGAATATTGGTAGTTCAGGATTGACATGAGGGGTCCTTGGTGCTCTCTGAGCTTGCTTGTTTTCTTGCAGACGTTTCGTCACCCTAACTAGGTGACATCATCAGTTCTGGACTTAAATGATTGTTGTGAATATGGCTTCCCCTCCCCCCCAATCTGGCTTGTGAGAAGGTCACAAAAGGGGTCACACGATCCCAGAAGACACTGCAACCGTCGCAAACACGAGTCAGTTGCCAATCCAAATTTTGATCACGTGGCCATGGAGATACCGCCCTAGCCATAAGGGCGAACGGCGGTCATAAATCACTTTATTTCAGTGTGCTTTTCGCTTTGAATGGGTCACTAAGTGAAATGTTGTAAGTCGAGGACTAAGCAGCCCGCTTTGCATCAGTATATCTCAACCTCAGCTACTTTTAAAGGTGGGCGGACGTCAACTCCCAGAATCCCTCAGCCGGCGTGCTTTTGGCAAGTTTTTTTTGGCAAGCGGATCGCTGTGTTTATCTGGTACCAGCATTTTGGGGCGTTGAATTGGCTCTCGGGAATAATTCTTGTCACAATTCAACATGCCGCTTATCACCTTTAAAGCCCTGTCAGGTATTTCCTCCACATGGAACCAGCCCATCCTATGCATTCCTCCCAATGGAGTGCCTTCTGGTGTGGAACAGTCTCCTTCCCCCCCCCCAAAAAAACCCCTCGGTTGGTACCTTCCCTGGCATCTTTCCTTAGGGCTGGACAGCATCTCCCAGGGTCACGTGATTGACATTCGGATGCTTGACAACTATTTCATATTATTATTAATAATAAAGTTGGAAGGGACCTTGGAAGTCATCTAATCCAACCCCCTGCTCAGGCAGGAAACCCTACACCATTTCGGACAAATGGCTGTCCAGTCTCTTCTTAAAAACGTCCAGTGTTGGAGCATTCGCTGCTTCTGGAGGCCGGTTGTTCCACTGGTTACTTGTTCTAACTGTCAGGAAGTTTCTCCTT